ATGAACACCACCTGTAACATTATGAACACACTGTAACACTATGAACACACCTGTATCACTATGAACACACCTGTAACACTGTGAACACACTGGTAACATTATGAACACACCTGTATCACTATGAGCACACTTGTAACACTGAACACACCTGTAACACTATGAACACACCTGTATCACTATGAACACACCTGTAACACTATGAACACACCTGCAACACTATTAACACATCTGTATCACTATGAACACACCTGTAACACTATGAACACACCTGTAACACTGTGAACACACCTGTATCACTATGAGCACACCTGTATCACTATGAACACACCTGTAACACTGAACACACCTGTATCACTATGAACACACCTGCAACACTATGCACACATCTGTATCACTATGAACACACCTGTAACACTATGAACACACCTGTAACACTGTGAACACACTTGTATCACTATGAGCACACCTGTATCACTATGAACACACCTGTAACACTGAACACACCTGTAACACTATGAACACACCTGTATCACTATGAACACACCTGTATCACTGAACACACCTGTAACATTACGAACACACCTGTATCACTATGAACACACCTGTAACACTGAACACACCTGTAACACTATGAACACACCTGTATCACTATGAACACACCTGTAACACTGTGAACACACCTGTAACATTATGAACACACCTGTATCACTATGAGCACACCTGTAACACTGAACACACCTGTACCACTATGAACACACCTGTATCACTATGAACACACCTGTAACACTGTGAACACACCTGTATCACTATGAACACACCTGTAACACTGTGAACACACCTGTATCACTATGAGCACACCTGTAACACTGAACACACCTGTAACACTATGAACACACCTGCAACACTATGAACACATCTGTATCACTATGAACACACCTGTAACACTATAACACACCTGTAACACTGTGAACACACCTGTATCACTATGAGCACACCTGTATCACTATGAACACACCTGTAACACTGAACACACATGTAACACTATGAACACACCTGCAACACTATGAACACGTCTGTATCACTATGAACACACCTGTAACACTATGAACACACCTGTAACACTGTGAACACACATGTATCAC